AGTTCTAAAACATCGTGGTACAAAACATCGTCGTCGAAAATAAAGCTGTTCAAAAACTTCGCAGTTTAAAACATCGTCGTCGAAAATATCGTGGTAAAAAAAAAGTATCTACAAATCATAGCTTGACGATAATATCGCAGACAATGCTTTTTTCAGACTTTAATAATTGTAAATAGATATTCCCATAATAATTTGTGAGTGCAAGATAGAAATAAGGATAATTTGTTTTTCATGTTTTATATTAACTAATAAATTTTTGCTGAGAAAATAAGAAGGAAACTTAAGCATAGAAAATTACTATGCTTAAGTAATGCAACTTATAGCACTTAATAGAATTTTAAACCGACATAGTTAACCAACAAAGACCATTAATAAATCATTTTTTATAAAGTTTTTACTGGTAATTTTTCATAAAAATTATAATCTATAAGTTGCATTTAATTTTCTATGCTTATGCTTCCTTCTTACTTTTTCAGCAAAAATTTATTAGTTAATAAAAAAATGTGAAAGTAAAAATTATCCTTCTTTACATCTTGCGCTCACAAATTATTATGAGAATATCTATTTACAGTTATTAAAGCCTGACAAAAGCATGTCTGCGATGTTATCTTCATGCGATGATTTGCAGATACTTTATTTTTTACCACGATATTTTCGACGACGAAGTTTTCAAACTGCGAAGTTTTTGAACCGCTTTATTTTCGACGAAGATGTTTTGTACCACGATGTTTTAAAACTGCGATGTTTTCTCTTTCCGATGTTTTCGCCCACGATGTTTTGTAGCACGACGTTTTCGCCTTGCGTTGTTTTCTCTGCGACGTTTTCGTCCGCGATGTTTTTGCCTCGATGTTTTCGGCTGTAACCCACTAGAACAGCTGAGCCAAGAACACGGAGATTTGAAGTATCCTAAACTTATAGACTGTGAAGAGCTCGCTATTTATAAAACAGAAACTATCAACTCCTTAGCTCTGAAATTAAACTCTATCGACATAGCTAGGCAATTTTATGGAAATGTATGGACTGAAGAGCCTTATTTACTTCTGATTAAACCAGCACATTATATCACAAAACACTTTTTAAAATCTGTTTGTCTCAAACATGTACTTGATGAAGTGAAAGACACATTTTGTCCTACCAATTTGGAAAAATATGGTGCTTATTGTATTGAATATTATGAATGTTTAAAAAGTAAATAAAATTATTTGTTTATATAATGGTCTCTTTACTGTCTCATAATTAAGTTAAAAATAAATATATATAAAATTAAGGGAACACTATAAATACTCATACACATTTTCTTTCCGTTCATAAGAAGGATTGATATAGAAATAAGAGGTTGTATGTTTTAGAGTAAACTATAAATTTAGAGAAAACTATAAATGAGCGTTCACATTTCTATTAGTAAAAGTCACTGCTGTACATACCATGAATCTGACTCAGATGTATCGCGATCCACCCCTTCCCGCCAGTTTTGGTGGAGTGAGTGCTTTGCATCGTGCTTTAAGGGGACTCATACACATTAAAACCCATAAGATGTGCGAATAAGTGACTGTTGCAAGAATTGGGATAACTTACTTATTTTAAAAGCAATTACCACCAACGTTTTGCAGGTGATTGCATAATATAGCTGATTTCTGAAATAGTAATCAGAAAGTTTGTGGTGCCACAAATATTTTTATAATTGAATACGCTTTGTGACAACATTTTTCGTCATGTTTCCAACTTGCGCGCACAGTTTAAAATATTCTGCTTCATAATTTAATTCCATGTTTAATATATATCTTTTATAACATCTGGAAACTACTGTGAACCTAAAGTTCTAAAACTTTCATGTTAAATTTTTATTTTATTTGGAGTTGAGTTTATAAAATGCATTTTATTAAAAAAATTTGTAATGTTTTCGTCCATAAAATTTTTCAGTGTTAAAATATTCATCAGATTGTTGGTTCAGTTAAAAAATAGTGCCCATATAAAGAATTTCATCAAATTTCAAGTATGTAAAATTAGCTATTTTTAAAATATCATGCGTCATGTCAGCTCAGACGGGTTCTCGACTTAAAAGGCAAAGAAAGTCACAAAACGATCAAGAATTGGCTTACCAGCAAAGGGTCATATTTTCGTCGCAATCGCGTCCTCGTCAGAGGCATCGACGCTCAGTTTCAATCTGATTTGGCAGATATGCAGTCTCTTGCCAAACACAACGATGGATATAAATATTTGCTAACGTACGAGTATATTGATGTGTTTCCCAAATATGCTTGGGCTGTTCCACTCAAAGATAAAACAAGTCAGAGTGTCAAATCAACTTTTGAACATATTTTTAGCGAGAGAAAACCACATGTGTTACAGACTGACAAAGGTAAAGAGTATAAGAATAAAATCGTTCAAACTTATCTTAAAAAAGAAGAAGTTCGTTTTTTTCACAACTGTGGAGAACAGTACAGTAAAGGCAAGCATCATCGAACGATTCCACAGAACCCTCAAAAGCAAAATGTGGAAGTACTTCAGTGAAATGAATACATATCGTTATATTGACGTAATAGATAAATTAATTCACAGTTATAATCATACCTGGCATCGCTCTATTCAAACTGAACCAGCGAATGTCAATAAACACAATGAGAAACAAGTGTGGAATCAATTATATAAAGACCTACCTAAACCTCAACCTAAGTTCAAAGTGGGAGATACAGTGCGCGTTAGCAAATTAAAAATGATTTTTGAAAAAGGCTATGAAAGTAACTGGACAAGAGAAATATTTACGATCCATGAAATCCTTCCTAGAAATCCACCTGTTTATCGACTTAAAGACCTTGCCGGAGAAGTCATTGAAGGAACCTTTTACGAAAAGGAACTGCAAAAAATTTCAGATTCGGGATATTATCCCGTTGAAAAAGTGTTGCGAGAAAGAAAGAGAAAAGAGCGTGACGGAATACTATGTGAAATTCGTAGGTTATCCACCAAAATTTAATGCATGGGTGACCGATGTGAAAAGAATATAAAAACTCCGCATCATATAAAGAATCGTCATTTGCCAAGATGTCTTTCTATATGACGTTACCTAGTGATAGCTCTCAACGTTATTTTCCAGAAAATACTATCTCTCATTTCATTACTCAATTGCCTGTACCCATATCTTTGAACGGGGAATGGGAAGTTGGTCTTTCTGAGATCATTTACCCGCACACCTGGTACAATATTAACAAAGATAACAATCTCTTTGGCTTTGATTTGGGTGACTCTTCAGGTGTAAGGGAAGTTGCCAATAGAAAAATACCACCAGGATGTTACGAAAGTGTCCCAGATCTCTTAAAAGGCCATGACTTTAGCATCATTTAAAGATAAAATCTCTTACAGTATGATCGTTCAACAAAAAGAGTGAAAATTGTGACGCAAAATGGAGCTCGGTTAATCTTTTATGATTCGGGATTGGCAAGTTTATTAGGCTTCGAACCGCAGATTGTCGAAGGTACTTGGAATAGTCCATATGTGGGTGATTTGCATTCTGCTTATACATTACTTTATGTGTACAGCGACATAGTTTCGCCTCAGATTGTTGGTAACGTGCAAGCTCCCCTCTTAAGAGTCGTGACAGTTACCGGAAAAGATGGTGATACCGTAAATGTACAATACGACAGACCGCATTATGTACCAGTAGCAAGAAATTCATTTAATACAATCGAAGTGGAAATCCGACTCAATTCGGGTACATTCGTTCCTTTTGAGAGGGGTAAGTTAATTCTTGTGCTTCATTTCCGAAGGCGACAAATCCTATAAATATGACAACAGAAGAGGAAAAGTTTTATTTGTAAAGAAGACATCAAGATGCTCGTACCATACGAATGTTGTACTCAGAATTATGAAAATCATTATCAAACCGGCTCGGGACTTTCTTATTATCAAGGTCAACCCTATCAAAAGGGCTATGGTCTCGGGGGATTTTTTCGTAGTCTATTTCGCTCTGCTATGCCTTTGTTTGTGAAAGGAGCCAAAACGGTGGGGAAAGAAGCTTTGCGCACCGGAGCTCTCATCGCAAATGATGTGTTGGCAGGTGAAAACATTAAGTCTGCTGCTAAACAAAGAGCCAAAGAGGCGGGAAAAGTATTAGCGGCAAAAGCTATTCGTAAAGCCCAGACCATGGTTGGTAGTGGCAAGTATAAAAGGAAGCGAAAACAGTCAAAACACTTCATTTCTCCGAAAGCTGTGAAGCAGAGAAGACGTGATATTTTCGATTCATAATGGCTTTTATCATGAAAGATTCCCCTGAATGTGTTAAATCCGAATTAGAACTTTTTCATTTACCTGGAACTCAAACGGCGATTCAGAAGCGGCCAATGGGTTCAGTTTCATCCTCTATCTAATGTATTTGACGGAGGTCCCGTAGAATTTCATATTTCAGGCAGTGGAGAAGATTATATTGACTTGTCACAAACACAACTCTACGTGAGAGCAAAAATAATAAAAACGGATGGTTCACCTCTGGATAAAGATGCTAGCAATCGGCCCAGTAAATTTGTTCCTGCATTCTTTATTTTCTCAGGTGGATGTCACATTAAACGAACGACTGGTGTCTTCTTCTAGTAACACATACCCCTATAGAGCTTATATTGAAACTTTGCTCAATCACGGCTATGATAGTAAAACTTCAAAATTGACAGCTGAAATGTATGACAAAGATCTAGAGAAGCGATCTTCCTTTTTCAAACTGAGTTCTACTGTTGATATGATTGGTGGCATTCATTTTGATTTATTTCATCAAGAAAGGCTTTTATTAAATATGGTGGATGTTAAATTAACTCTCATAAGAAGCAAGCCGGAGTTTTGTTTTGCAAGGAAAAGCAGGTCATAAAGTGGTTTTAGAACATGTATCTCTTTTCGTGAGAAAAGTGCGTGTGAGCCCTGGAGTTATCCTAGGTCATGCCAAAGCGTTAGAGAAGAGTAATGCCAAGTATCCTATTAATAGAGTATTATGTAAAGTCTATTCCATTCCCCAAAATAGCATGTCCTTGATACAAGACAACGTTTTTGTTGGCCAGATGCCTCAAAGAATTGTAATGGGATGTGTTGATAATGACGCTTTTCACGGAAATTTTGCCAAGTCACCATTTGAGTTTAAACATTATTACCTGAATTTCATTGGAGTGTACGTCGACGGACAGCCTGTGCCTTACAATCCACTGGAACCAAATTTTGATAACAACAATTATATTCGAGCTTATCATAGCCTGTTTTTCAATAAATCCCAACAAGATAAAGGCATTTTTATATCCAGAGAAGACTATTTACAAGGTAATGTGTTATTTGGTTTCGAATTATCACCAGACCTTTGTGATGGAGAGCATATGAATCTCATTAAGCATTCTAATCTACGGATTGAGTTAAAGTTCAGCCAACCTCTCGAGCAAACCGTGTGTGTGATTATCTTTGCAGAATTTGATAACGTGATTGAAATTAATAAATCGAGGAACATCATTTTTGACTTTAACTGATGGATGGTCGTATTATACAAGACATTTTATCTCGTGAAGCAGCAGCTGTCTTTCGAGGAGTTTATCCAGCAGATAAAATACCTCCCTTAATTAGAAGATCAGCCATCGTTGTGAATACAGACAAGTCCACAGAACCCGGAGCGCATTGGGTAGCCTTTTTTCAAGATGAAGAATTAGAATTTTTTGATTCTTATGGACAATCTCCAGATGTTTATGGATTTCACTGTTCAAATGTAAAATGGAATAATATTCCATTACAGAGTGTAACTTCTAATGTATGTGGAGCATACTGTATTTATTATGTACTGAAACGAAGCCAAGGCCAATCTATGTACGCCATTATTGAAAATTTATGTAAAATGAGTGATTTTAACCTGTATCAATTTGTGAAAAAAACTTATGGTGTAAGAATGATTTTTAAACAATGAAATATTTGAAATGTATTTTTTCTTCTCTGTTTTATTTTTCTGACTGAATAAATTTTTTCAACTTATATAAAAGCATATTGAGTTTTAAATAATAAAACCTTTTCATATGAAGAAAAACACAAATATCACTTTTCGACCTAAAAAAATTAAAGTGAAATTTTTTCGACCTAAAAATATCTAAATGAAATTTTTTCGACTTTTCAAAATCAAAGTGTAAATTTTTCCCCTTACATTTTGAAATTAACATGAGTTTTCCCATAGAAAAAATAAAAGTTGAGATTTTTCTCCCTAAAAAAATTAAAGTGAAATTTTTTCGACCTAAAAATATCTAAATGAAATTTTTTCGACTTTTCAAAATCAAAGTGTAAATTTTTCCCCTTACATTTTGAAATTAACATGAGTTTTCCCATAGAAAAAATAAAAGTTGAGATACAAAGCTGCTTTTTCACTTTCATCAAGGTCTTTTTTCTTTAAAATTCTATCCATTTTCTCATCCAGTTCGGTAAGATGTTCCACCGTTTGTCGTCTTTCTTCTGGTACGATGAGAAGTTTTTTACTGAACTCCATGAATAAGAGAACTAATGACAGAAATAGCCGCAGGTAAGAGAACACTTAGAAAACCTTCCCCTTTTTGTACAAGCAGTCTTCTTTTCTTATAAAGAGGTACTTTTTTATTGGCGAGTTTTCGTAAACTTCGTTTATAAGGCGCTAATTGAGCCTTTCGCTTGGAGGAAACGGCAAGATGACCTCGAAGCAAGTTTAAGGCACATTCACACACAGTTTTTATGACACTATTGGGGCACTTGCGAAGCAAATCACTTGAAAATTTACTTTTCGAGATGAGTTTCAGTTGCTCTAATTGGTGCAGCGAACAGTTCGACATTTTATACACGAATGACAGTAAAGAAAAAAGTGTTGGGCTTTTATAGAGTCTCTACGAAGCGTGCATAAGCGGCGGCTTTTTGAACAGCACAGTGTGAAAAGTTCTTCACATGCAAATAAGGGCAGACTATTTCTCCTGGAGGTAAGTCACAAAAAACGGGGACAGTTTACATCAAATTAATCACAAATTAATCACTTCTTTTCTGGTATGATTTTGAAAAAATTTCTTTTTTTCCAGACCTTTGACATATATTTTTTTAAATGAACGAAACAGCATCTGAAGGACTAAATTTAAATCTGTATATGACATTTCTCCATATGTCCAGTCCATATGATGTATATTGCGAGATACCCACGAAAACGTGAGTTGTGTTTTCTTGCTGAAATCTTCAAAGGAACATGGGGGTTGAAAAGTCCATCTGCCACGATACGTTGGGTCCCCTACGGCAAAAGCTGCAAGTTCTTTAATAACAAACTGTCCTGAAGAATGTTGGAAGCCTTCAAAGTCGATCACCACAGACATCTTCACTCGTTGACAGCTCACCAGCAAATGACTAGCGAGGTTGATAGACGTAGTATTTATCGTTTGGAAAAAGCCCCGTTCTCAGACGCATGGAGTCAGATGTTTCAGGTTTGAGGTCAACCAGTAAATAACTGTAAGGTTTAGATGTAGCATCCTGATACACTTCTTGAAAAAACTTGTTCTTTCCTGGATATAACTGCCTTCCCAGATGCATAATTTGAGACTTGTCTCTTGTATTTTTAAAGAGCACACTAAATAATTAGCATTTAAAGACATTTCCCGAATACCTTTATGAAACAAATTTTGTACAATGAAAATAACACTAAGATTTCGATGATGAGATCCTTTGGTAAATAACTTAGTCAATCTGATATCATTTCCGAGTTCCGACATGAGATCATCAATAATACGAGTAATCACAGAATTTGATAAAGTGTGGATGTTTTCAGGCAAACCATCACAAAATTCAATATGATTCATCTCATCGTAAAGACTTTGATAAGCACCATAGCACCAAATAATTTTAGGAGGAAAAGGAGTGATCATTTGGTGGTTCATTAATTTTTTAATAAACATGGTTTTTCCGCTGCCACTAGGACCAGCAGCTAACATCGTGAAAGGATGCTTTAATTTCAACAGTTCCATCTTAACTAAATTCTTATTCGAAAAACAATTCTATTTATAGCTGTTCCACTAGATTTTTAATTTTTCTAACTTTCCATTTTTTGATAAAACTAAAATTAATTTTTCTAACTTGTTAGATTAATTATTGTAACTTGATTAAAATATTCTAACGTGTTAAACATTTTCTTAAAAAGATTCAGAGAACTCTCTCTTTACTGAAGACTTAGTTTTTTAAAGTACAAAACAAGAAATAATATATTTAAATAAACATTTATTAAAGTTTGAAGACATATCATTACACTTATTTACATCATAAATTTCCACAATAAAATACTTTTAGAATTTTGATTGAATGTACAGAGAATTTTGAGATAAAATTATTCAAACTAAAAATTATATGGCATAATGTCCGTATGCATAGGACGATATCCCATCGTCTAAAAGATACCGTTTCGTATCGAAAGGACACAAAGTAGCTTTCGTATAGGCCACAGTCTTTATCTGATGACTGTGGCTAGCAATACGTTGCGCATGGGCAAGGCCGCGTTGTTGTTGTAAAAGACAGTTAACGTAGTCCACATGACGAATCTGTCTTTTAAGGATGGTTTTCGATACGCCCTTAGCAGTTTTTTTCTCAGTAGAGTTACTCAGTAGGCTGTACATTTTTGGCTTGAGTCCAACAAATTCTTGGGCAATTTGTCCAGATAGTTCATCTTTCATTTTACCGATCGTCTTTTTATTGGTAAGGCTGTAGAGGGGATGATTTTCTGGGTAATCTGAGGTATCGAATAAGTTCAGATTGTTGCCCATGTCTTGAAAAATATCATCAGTTTCTATTTCGTAACAAAGACTGTCGGTGTCTGTGAATAATAAACGGGCTTTTGATGCATATGTTTTCTTGATATATCCATAATGAAATTGATACATCAACGTTTTTGATAAATCCAAGATGCTGAAGCCTACATAGATAGGACGATTCAGAACCAAGCTGGTTTTCCGTCGCTCAATGGCTGCCAGATCGTCGGTGATGATCTTGAAGGAATGAAATGTTGGAGCAGCGACTAACTTCTTGGCTCGTTTCTCTCGATGAACCAGATCAATGCAGGTACGTTTTCTGAGATTTTCCATCGTCTTTCCGAAAACTGAATTGTTTAAGAGTTTAAACAAATCTTTTTCGAATGAAGATTTAGCCAGTTTACGTTGCCTAGTGTTGAATTCAATGTATGTTGCAAGCCAAGGAGATTGTTTGAACGTCAGCACTCGATGGATCTTGGTCACGTGAAGCCCCAGTGAAACATACTTGCTTCAGATTTCGGTAATGTATCACGTACCGATGCTTAGGTCGCAGATTTGGCACCAGTTTGGTATAGAACTGCTCGGTGGGATTTGGAATTTAGCTGCCAGGTCTCGCGTGTAAGGTGACCACATATCAGGAGTCACGACGACTTGTTCGGGAGCAAGAGGATAGTCCGAATGATCATCGTGAAGTTCCCTTGGATACTCCAGATCAACTTCAAGGATACATCCTTCTTCCGCATCGTCATGCCACCGGAAGTCATGGGTTGGTAAAGCTTGGCTCATGGCCCATCTAAAAAGATAGAATAAAAATAATGAATATCACAAGTAAATAATAGAGAAAATATTATATCTAAACATTTGGAAAGGATACTTACCCGTAAAGGTTATTGGCATCCAAATACATAATATAAGATGATGGCTTCGTTGGGTCATAATTTTCCATATATTTATTATTGGCTTGGCTGAAGCGATGTGAAATCATAGCGATGCCACCTCGAATGCCCTTTTCTATAAAGAGATACATATCAGGATCGGTGAGTAACTCCAGTTGGACATCGAACATGCGTAGGGAAGCTTCCCAGGCCAAACCTGTGTAGGCCAGGTGCTTGCCAGGCCAGACCAGGTGCTGTGTAAACGTGTGCCGAATCCAGTTTGTAAAAATCAAGACATAGTCGTCTGAAGTTTTGAAAAATATCCGCCAGAAGCAAAACATCACTTTTTACATAGAGGTCGTGGTAGTCTCCTAGATGACGTAATCCGAATTCTTCCCAGACTCTGTTCGCATGCTGGTAATCCTCATCGTTGATATCACTCTCTGTTAAATGGCTGTAGAAGGCAGTGAGAGGTGGAAGGTGCGGCTCATCAAATCGTTCAAACGAATCTAGGTACTCATAAGGGTAGACACCTGGAAAAAAAATAAGATAAATAACCTATATAAAAAAGTAATAATACACTACCTTATATAAAAAGTTATAAGAAATTCTGATTACCTTTTCGAAGCATCAGATCTGTTTTTTCTTGGAAACATGTTCTTGTCAGTTGAAATTGTTGGGTTTCCAAATTAGCCGTGAGCTTGTCTAAAGAAACATTCAGAAATTGCAGAGAATCTATGAAGCGTAGACGACCCAAAGAAACAGAGATGAATTTTTCTGAATTCTGCGGAATACACTTAATCTATTCGTCTTTGAATTTTCCCACCGCTTGCATCAGGAGGTGAGAATCATATCCCTTCAGATTATGAAAGACCACTGGTAGAAAATTTGCAAATTTGAAATTGATGTTGCATCCATTATGAGCTGCTCCTCTGTAGACTCCCGTAAGATGGCAATGGTCCCGCACCTAAAAATTAAAAATTAGTTTTAAAAAAACACATTATTATAAATGCATATTACTGAATGAAGTTATAATATTCGAATAATACTTACCTTATCTCCATTCAATGGCTTCTCACAGATATGACATTCAGAGGCAGATTCATAGGCCCACTGATTTTCTTGGGTGAAAATCATGGGCTCTACAGTTTTCAAAATTTCAAAGATGCCCCTTTCTTCTTCCTTTCTTCTTCCAAAACATGATAGAAAGTGGTTGACAGCGTCTTTCCCTCTATAGACTTGAGGTTCCCGATAAAATGAACCGTCGGTCCCACGATCACGTAACAGTATCCACAAGGAAGATGGTTGGCTACAGGGGTGGTTGAGGACTTCGAAGGATCCGGTAGGCAGGTAGCTTGCTTTATTAAAATGCATTCGAAGTCGGCGTAGATAACATAAGGGACAGGAAGCTGAAACTGGTGCTTGTCAAATTTTAACCATTTATTTTCCGGCATTTTAATTTTTTGTGCTCCATGCACTCGACAGTCTTCTACATGAGCGTCGAGAGTCTCTTTCTTCGTGAATCGGTGAAGGCAATAATCACAATAAAATTTTCCACACTTATGTTTCGGTGAGTCCGCAAGAAGAGACGAGACATGTTTTTAATGAGACAATAATGTCTCTTTTCCTCATCGGAAATGAGCAGCAGATTGATATGACGATCACCTAAAAAAGAAAAATATCATTCCATAAAATAATTTTAAAACATTAATATTATTAAACTTGTCTATTAAACTAAACTATTTCAAACATGTCTATTAAAGTTTACAAAATAAGGATAAATTACCATTTCGACACTTGGTGATCCGAAGAGGTAAAATCTCATTGTTTTCCCAACCGAACACGTTGATCGACAGGTTGTTCATTTTCTCGAACTTGTCCAGCTGGTGAATGGGGGTGGGAAAAGACAAGCCCATCTACATGGATTTCTCCTTCATAGGGCTTATAGTGAGATACTCTATATGCATGTTCTCCATGATCTTCAACGGGATGAAGGGCCGCCAAGACACTCCAGACGAGACATTTGTGGTCCTCATTTTGGATATTGAGAACAGCCATTTTACTGGCTAAGGCTTTCGGTAGAGGTATGTAAGAAGAGGCCGCCAGGGGTTTGTAGACAGCGGTCTTGAGCTCCAGGTATTGGACGGAGTCTAAAACCCATCCTGAACCTTTTTTCAGAAATTTGTCCAAGGAATCTAGTACCTGTAAAAATAAAATATTTCATGAGTGATTACTAATTTTACACACATTTTACAAATAAATTAAATTCACATAAAATTAACTTTCTTATTACCTTTCAATAGCTGTTTGCATATCGGGCATTTCTCCCGTGTGAGAGTAGTGCTGCATCTGGACCGAAAGTAAGGGGTGCATGTCTCCTCCTCGGTCTCTGACACTTTTCTGACCATCTTCACACAAGCATTCAAGTACCATTTGATAACTTGGTGCTGTGCGGCAGCTTGTTCAATCTTGCCTGCGACTTCCGTTCTTGAAAATTCTAAAAATACTTGCAAGTCTTTGTTGGTGTCTTTCATGGGATAAAAGACCTTGGTAACAAACGTACAAAGGCAGGGTGGGCGTTCTTGTCGTGGTCGTTTAGAATCAGGCGCTGTAGTGAGGGAAGCTACTCGTTTCACTGAGCGAGATGGCGTGGATTTCGGTGGTTTAGCATGAATCTTCATATGATTATTCAGTTTATCGGAGCGTCGAAACTCCTTTTTGCATATGGAGCAAATGTTTCTTGTAATTGAATGCTGCACTTTAATATGTCTCGTCAAGCTTCTCTGGTGTGCAAAGGTTTTGTTACACTCCGAGCAACTTAAATTTGGGCTATCAACAAAAGGCAAATCCAACTGGGATGATGTAAGATCACCAAAATCCATTATAGCAATCGTTTGATCATCCAAAGGCATGTCTTCATGTTCGGAAACATATTCAGGATCCATCTAAAAATATAAGAGGATAAAAATAAGTATTATAACTCAAAAATTTTCAAACATACAATTTTTGAAAAAGAAAGATACTTACGTTGCCTTGTGGTTGAGCAACCTCATGATTTAAAATCATAGCATCAGATGTATGTTCCATCTGAAAAGAATGAAGAAAAAATTCGACTGTTCATGAAAACATATTAAACAAGTCCAGGAAAGTTAAAATATTAAAATAAACTTACTTACAATAGTAAAATGGAAACAAACTCATTAAAAAATATATTGTAGCGTTAAATAGAAAGAATGCAAAGGGCAAATCATCAGTTTAATAAATGCGATAATATTTACATGGAAACACGAAATAACGTTAATTTAACTAAGATTTACGTTAGAAAAAAGAAAGCATACTAAAGATAATTTAAAGAATGCGATTAATATTTACATGAAAATACGAAGTGTCATTAATTTAACGAAGAAAATTTACATTAGGTATAATATTTCGATAAATGTAATCTATAAATAATAGTGATAAATACAGAATAAAAATTAATGTAAAAGAAATATCAAAAATGAATAACGACTTACGTTAAAACAAAATGGGTTCAATTAAAATGGTCCTTAGGAAAATTTTGAAACAAAAATAAAGAAGAAATTATAAAATCATGCATGAAATAAACAATATTTTATAGACAAGTAAGTATTAATTATCTAATAAAAAATAAATACTAACAGCTATTGAAAATAAATAGATATTAACATCTAATAAAAACAACGTGATGTGGTAACCATCATATTCCGCACTAAAATTCTTGGGTAGTCGCAGATTCATTGTGAACACCTCTTGTGGACTGTGTTTAGAGAAGGTGTCCAAACACGAAGGCTCTAAATTCACACCATTACGAGTCGGATAATATGAAGTCCCGTACTTGCTGTATTGCCTGATGTGCACGGTGATCTTTCCGTTGAAAAGGGTAGGTCTCACAAAGACATTGTTGCCATTATGTGTCAGCTCAGCCGGGATTGTGTCTTCAGTAAAGCGTCCATTGCGCTAAAAGAGAAAAAATCTGATGTGTGCACCACATGACTTCCTTGTACGGAATATTAAATTATACGCATTTTTTCTTGCATTTCATTGAAACTTATTGGATTGAATTAAATGTACTTCGCCGACAGCACATAAACCACAATAGAATAAATGCATTCTTTAAAATTCACTCTAGTATTTGTTTAGCATAGCGACACTCTGGCGCTAGATTCACTTAACAGTATTAATAATTACCTAACAGTTAACTTATATAATAATTATATAACGGAAACTAAGTTAACTGTTGTCTAATTAATAATTAGATAACAGTTAACTTATATATTTCGTACATATTATAACTCATAATGCACACAATTTATATCATTTAAAGAATAGAATTATCTAATCGTTGCCACATGTTCTATTCAAATACTATAATAAAGCTAGAATGATGTATAAAAGAAATTAAGCAAACAAAACAAAAAAGAAACAGTTTTTCACAGACGATTGAGTATTTCTCATTTAATTAATTCAGTTCTCACTTCGCGAGAAGGCAAAAATACATAAAAACTCAAAATATCTATATTAAAAATTACGAAGTAAATCTTAAACACTTATTTCCTCGAAAAAATTCCAGAAAGAATTAAGCATGATTTAATTGGCAATAATAAATGAATGCGTTATCTTTGTTGTTGCGAAGCTAAGTTTCTCTAGATTGGCAAAAAATCCACTAGTTTGCTGTTTCAAATGTAAACAATCAATGGCCGCCATAAAAAAAAGGTCTAGCGGCACTTAGACAACTTTAAAATTGTTGATAATTCTAAAACTATTGCATACAGATTTACTAAGGGCATAAAAACCTTAACCGGAAGATAAAAACAACATAATTCAATCATTTTAAAAGCAAAAAATGTACTATTTACAAACATATAAGAGTAAAGAAACTGAGATCACAGAGCCGGTAACAGAGTGGATATATATATAAATATATTTATATACGTTTGGTGCGGCCGATTGCAATCAAAATACGAGGGCCACATCTACATGTTATAGCAGTCCTATATACAAAATTTCAACGTTCTGAGGCTACTGGTTTTTGAGTTATGCGAGATACGCACGTACGTACATACGTTCGTACAGACGCCACGAAAAATTCTCTTCAGAATTAATTTTAAAGCAGTTTTATAATTTTTTTGAAGGAAAAGAGTATTTTATTCGTCCTTACGTACAGATATCACGCAAAAACATCGTTACATTGCATTCGATAGCGGTCAAAATGGATATTTTTGTTGAAATATGCTACCTGAAACTTTTCGCGATTACAATACTTCCTTTTTACTTCGTACAAGAAAATAAAAATAATGATGAGTCGTTTGGTAAAAGAATAATAAGTCTGCGTTATAGCAAGAATAAACTCTTTTCGTAATACTTACTTTCTTTTCTTAGATGTATTATCTTCGTCTATTTTTCGTTTGCCATTAGTGTTCCGCGAGATGGGCGTTTCTTTCGACTTCTCATGGTGTAGGTCAGAATTACAATCAGAATCTGAAATCTTCGGCACATCCACGTTGGGAGGCTCGTTCTCGAACTGTTGTTCCAAATCCATCTGAAAAATATAAACTATAAAGGCAATGCAACAAATGCAGATTTTCGTACTATAATTAAATAGTAACATAGAATTTATAAATACAGGCAACACGGACTTATAAAAACCTAAAAAAACTTAAAGACTAGTTAAACTGCTTAAGCATTAAAATACACACACACACACAAAGCACAAAAAACTCGAAAGAGAAAACATACAATCAAGGAAGACATACAAACAAAATACCAAGAAAGAAAAACAATACGAATAATTGCAAAAGGAACAAACAGAATTACAGAAAAACAGAATCAATAAAGATTACTATATACGCTATGATCGTTTTCTACAGCATCACATAAGAACACATACAATAAAAATGCTCATTCAAATACTCAAATGTAAAATCAGATTTACAACATGTAAATTCATAAGATCAAATCAAAAGTACCCGTCATGGGCAGCAACAACGCTTTTCCATGTGAGTGAAGAAGGATAAAGTCTTCAGAAGAACTCCAAAGCAATCTCCAAAAATTCACTTATAAAACTCCAATTTCACAATAGTGCTCTAATAGTTCGCTTTCAAAATCCAAATCAGCAGATTTTCAATAACTCCACAGTAGAAAAGGAAATTCAGCAAAAGTTCTCTGAATTCAGCAGCAGTCCTTTACACCAGGCAAAAGCCTGACCGGGTACGCCCCCCACTACCGCCCAAACTAGAAATCAAAACGAAAATATTTCCTTTGCGCTTTAACACTCCACTCAATCTAGGGTCTAAGAGAAACACAGGACTATGTACTAGGGTCTAAGAGAAACACAGAACTATGTACTAGGATCTAAGAGAAACACAGGACTATGTACTAGGATCTAAGAGAAACACAGGACTATGTACTAGGGTCTAAGAGAAACACAGGACTACCAGCTGTTCTCCATTCCAGATGCTCTTCGGTCGTCTACCTTATGATCTTCTGTTTGGTCGCCCTCCGGATGCGCCTTCATCGCCTGAGGAATATATCCAAGATCTCCAGGCCCGGTTTGAAGTCATGTGCAATTTTGCACAATAGCGAGTCAACTTAGCGAGGGAAAAGATGAAGACCAGATACGACACGACAGCTACTGGACATCGATTCAACGAAGGAGAGAAGGTGTGATTGTGGAATCCATCTCGACGGAAAGGACACTGATCGAAACTACAGTTACCTTAGGACGGTCCTTGCACAGTCCTAGACAGGCTGAACGACGTCGTGGTTTGGATCCGTAAGTCATCGAACTCTATACATAAAGTCGTTTATTACAACAGGTTATCTCCTTACTATACATAGTCATAGTATGTAGTATAGTATATAATTGTAAGTAGTATGCAAACAGAATAAGACCATAGTCCTTTTTGTTTCTAAATGTATATTTGATTTTATTTGTTTTAAGTTACTTATTGCAATTATTGTTTATGTTGTTTGCTATCGTAATGTACCGTTTATTGTTGCATTGATGCCTTAGTTGTAAGTTTGGTTTCCTGTCCAGGGATTGTACTGCCCGGGACGTGCAGTCCTTGGGAAGGGAACAGTGTTACGGAATTTGTATTTATTTTGCTATTTTTAGTAGAATTAATTACAAGTATTTTATATTCCCGTGAAGCGCAGCACGAAACTTATATGAAGGGAAAGGTACGCCCGAAAAATTAAAATACAGGAACATGCGCATTTAACATTTTAATAAATAGATGCCTCGTAATTGTTCTCTTTTGCTATCCAGAAAAATCGAGAAAATAACAGAATGTTCTCGTGCTGAATAAAAAGCTTAATAAAAGCCAAAGAAAGCATTTCATTTCAGTAGTTGTTTACTTAGTTCTTGTTGTTGAGACTGTAGGGAATTCGCGGTGAAATCGGATTAGCTTTCTCAGTTTTGAATTGAGTTCTATTGAACATTTTAGTAGTTTAAAATGTAATTACTGGGAGATATTGTGGTATTGTACGAATATCTCTGCGGAAATTTAAGCATTTTGTATTTATTCTTCGGATAATAATAAATTTTATTAACTTCTTATCGACTTGTGCATTCAATGCATTACGAATCTGTACGCACACAATATATATGCTATATGGGATACACTGGATGGTACAGTGGATATTTTGTTGTATGAGGACTCAGATACTGATTTAAAAGAGGTTTCAAGTGAATCTTCATTAAGCTCTGGAGATGAGAGAATGGGTTTTAACGAAGATTATACTATATATATATTGTTTATGATAATTTTTCTGTAGCTTAATGCGCGAAAATAACTTGGCATGTTTGTATTTTGTTTTCAAAAGAATTGCTTTGTAATTGTATATATATAGAGAGAGAGTAAAGAAGACAATAAAGTTGTGCATATATTTATATACCGTATTTGCCGGTGTACAAGACGTACCGGCCTATAAGATACACCCCTTTTTTATACACATTATTGAAGGATCAAACTTTATTACTGATCATTATAATTTATTTACAGTATTTTAAATATAAAGTAATACAAATGCAAAGTAATACGTTCTGCAAATACCCAATTTGTCTGGGAAAGAACACCTTTTAATCTTCGTTAAAACCCATTCTCTCATCTCCAGAGCTTAATGAAGATTCACTTGAAACCTCTTTTAAATCAGTATCTGAGTTCTCATATAACAAAATATCCACTGTACCATCCAGTGTATCCCATATTCCAAAAGGAAACATGAAAACCAGAAAAAATGTAGTAAAAAACTGAGCATCGACGTATAAGATGCAGTATTGACGTATAAGAAACAAATAAAGCTTGAATTAATAAGGTGTATGTGACTAACTCGTACTTTCATACAAACTGCATATCGATTGCCCATGCTTTCAATGAGGTGATGAACCATTGCAAATGCTAGCAATGGCCATTTCTCCACTAGCTCTTTGAAGACCATATCGTCCCAGACGGCCTTTCATTCAGACGACCACAATCGCCCTAAACGGCCGAAATTCCGATGTTGTTTTCTGCCCTTCCCTAATGTATGCAGTAGCAGGTGCAGTTTCCCCAAATGTATTGCATCAGTTTATTGCAGAAAGCTTGATCTAAAAAGATTTATTTTTTAGAAGCAGAAGGGATGTCATTTGGAATCTTTACTCTTCTTTGTGCGTTAATCGATGGGGAGAGGAGGAAATTGCTGTGACCCTCGAAAACAATTTCGAGCGGATCGGTATTTTAGCATACAAGTTAGTGAACGCTTTGGTTCTGAAAGAGTTAAGATAGTTTTCATCTGTTTGAGATCATCTAGGGGAGCTAAAGAGGAAGAGATGGCAGACCCGATGGTATCCCAGCGGGGAACTTCTACGGTCCTTTCAGACGAGAAATACCCTCAACTCTTAGAAACTTGCCTCATTAACGATGTTGGCTAGATTGGGACATGCAATCCATAAGGAGGAAATCAGGACAACTGCTGCAATATAGTCTTGCAGTGGAGTGTAGAACTTCATCCCGATACCGCGGAGCTGTCACTGAACCGTTATATCCCACTGAAATTTCGGCCTGCATCATCATGCTGCCAGCTTTGAATGCGTGATTTTCGGTGATGTTGAGCTTGATTCTGTGTGTCTCGTTTTCTAGAGATACTTATATCCACTTATTATCTGATTTCAGGGTAAATCTAGACTCGTCCGTGAGCAAGACGATGTGCCAGTCTGAGACAGGTTTAACTGAGATATTGATGATATCACCTTAATTTAGCTTCTTTGGATTGGGTACTTAATAGAACACAAATACTTAATACTTCATACAAATACTTCATAGGAAGACATACAGTCCCTTCATGTGAGGCCTTTGGCATACAGTACTGCTGCCTATTGTGTTACTAACTGCTCCAATCATAGATGTTGAGAGTTCCAACTTGGTTACTACTATATATACAATATACGGATTTTCTGAAAGCTTGGTAACCTTTGGTTGACCGAGCACAGATCTCCGGACAATTGTTTGACTTGTTTCGAACTGTTTCCGCAATTAAGGAATTACAGAATGATCAACATCAATAACATCTTTTGGAGATTGTTCTATTTAGTGCGATCAATAGCACGTTAAAGCTCACTATAAGCCATTCGTCTTCAGCCAAAAAACATAAGTATAATAAAAAATTATCCTACGGAAGTTAGGAACACTTCATTTATGCATATAACGTTTGAAACGTTTGAATGGATTCATTCATTTATGCATATAAATGAATCCATTCAAACGTTTCAGAACGCTGGTGTCTTCAGCGACTGCCTCAATTAGCATATGTTCGGACAAACAATCGTTGCACCATGCAATATTTTCCTATTGCCATGCGTATCTAAATCGATTTCAATTAAACTTTCGAAAACTGCTATTTTACATCGCGTGATTTACGTTTGGAAGCTAGTATTCATTCTCACGCATATAGATTGTTCTCTGTGTGTGCGGGGGAGCTCAACATTGTGACGGAAAAAAGAAATACTAAAGTAGTTGCATCGGAATTGCTAATTAATTGCCACCCATGTACGATTTTAATCCACATTGGAGCTCAAATATTTTAATAATATTCAAAATGTTTAAAATGTAGAGGGTTCGATATCTTCGTCATAATGGTTGTCTTTACACTCTCATTGACAATGATATTTTCGTTTAGCGTAGTCTCCATTTGCAAACTTAAATAGCTAATCTCCTATTCTGTAACCATCATGTATGAAGCTCATGACGACCAGTGAAAAGGAAGGTATTTGGACTATTGTAGATGTGCTCATACACTTGATAATTAATTTCATAAATAATGCAATTGCCTTATTTTGTTCTTAAGTAAAAATATTCCAGCGATACTCGAAATAAACAAAATGAGCAAGGAACTTCTTGAATGAACAATTCCAAGAAATAATTCGGACTTTCCTTTCATAGAAGACCTACTGAAATCCGACACTCGAAGGCCAGCGCCCCACTCAGCATGGCCTTTGCTCTGCTGAGTGGGTGGACTTCAAAATTATCTCACTGCAATAATTTTGAAGCTAGTGGCGGTAACATAATCAA